AACCCCCTTTGGGGGGGGGGGCCCCCCCTTCATGGGGCCCCCCAAATACCCCCAGGGCTTTCCCCTTTGGTTAATGGAAACCCCGTTCCGGGAAAAACCCGGGGGTCCCCCCCCCCGTTTTTGGGGGGGGGGGGGTAAAGGGTCAAAAGGTTTACGCCTCCCCCACTTTGGGGTCCCCCCCCCCCCCCCCCCCCCCCCGCCCACCCCAAGGGAGGGGGTTTGAACAGTTCCAGCACCATGAATCACGATATTAGTACGACCCACTCGGCGAGCGTTTGCGACCGCCAGACGTTCATGCTATGTTGCTGTAATATGGCAATACATCATGTAACCCGACGATCTTGTGTGTAGGCAAGATGAAGAGTATTAGATAATCTAGACCAAACAGTTATACGTTTGTCATTGCTGCTTCCTGCACACGAAAACATGCAGGTTGCCACGTTCTGTAACCAAGTGTCTTTTGGGCAGTTCTTTGTCTCCAGACAAGGGTAGTTTGGTTGCCAAGAAAACTATTCAACCTGCAGTAGACTTTCCCGAAATGACGCGCGCCCAAGTTATGGCAAAGAACGAAAAGTCTTGTTTCTCTGACAACTTGGCCAAATGGGCGACAGACGGGCTAGAGGCTGCTCCAGCACGTGCATCAGGGTACATATGCACGAAGAACCTCCCGAAGACAAGCCTGGGGATCGCACGGTGTTCACCACCTCAGTGGCGTCCAGGCCCAGGTGGTACACAATACACGGCGAGAAGCAGCGGCCTCCGCGCATATGGCTCATCATATAACCCGAAGATCTCCGGCACGTGTCCTTATTTCAGCCAAAACGCTTCGGCGTAAAACCCGGGGATCTCTGATATTGTCCCACCTTGCCGCAAACCCATTCTTCCGGTTAGGGGGACTTACAGTATGCCAACTTGTCTTGGAATATTTTCGCGAATACACTTACGATCGCTGTGAGCGCTGGTGTACACAGTGGATCAACAAAAAACTTGCAAGGCCCCGAAATTTCTCTCGAACAAACACGAGACCGCTGGCAAACGCTTCAGCAACCGCTTGCGTGTCTTTCCAATGAACAGACACTGGGAATACAAACGCTTACCTCGTTGTGCTTGTTTTGAGCGAGATATACGTGCGCCAGGTTGATCCAAACGTCCCCGAGAACCTCCGCTGACACTTCTCTGACTCGTGCGAACACATCCTTCGCGTGATCTAACGTTCCCTTTTCCGCCAGAACCATCCCCAAACCGTTCGCTGGCAAAAACACAACACAGCGAGATGCGGATGACGGTAGGACACGCTGGGTCATATTGCGAGCTTCCAGTAAGATTATCGGAGGCACAGCTGAATTCCGCGCTTGAGACTCTTCGCGCCTGCCGCAATATTACCGGGAAGGAACAACCCCGAGAGCAAAACACAGCTCAGCAGCGGAAGGTACTTGGGGCGCATACCTGAGAAAGCGTTGGCGTCATCCTTTTTGAGGACTTCGTGGTAAAAGTTTGCGGCGTGAAGCAGATGTTTCTCGTATTTCGTACGGTCTTCCAGGTTGCTGAAGTATATGTTTCCCAAAGAAAGATTCGCGTAGCTGTCTCCCCGAAGACCAGGCTGCGCGTCAAACAATGGTTGTTGGGTGGAAAAACAACGTCATGCCAAAGAAATACCACCCACACATTCTATTGCATTCTTGGAACCACTGGGAACTACAACATGCAAAAATTGCGGTAACATTTATCCAAAGACACACATCTCACCGCTACATCTTGTCTTACCATCTCTAGTATTTTCTCGAACTTTTTTTGCGCCGGGCCCCATTCAGAGTTGCGCATGTGAAGGTTGCCGATGTAAGCGACTATATTCGGGTTCTCGCCGTCGACCTCCAAGGCCTGCTTGAACCATTTGCTCGCCTCGTGGATTTGTCCGGAGTCACGAGCCATGATCCCAAGTCGGAGGTAACCTGCCAGGAGGTTCGTTTTGGACTTGAGGTTTTGTCAAAATGTGCACGCACGTCGCCTTGGTTGCGAACTTGCGATCCGAACTACCATGATGCCAGTGAGACAAAAACATCCAGTCCTTCCTCGTTCTGTGTTCATGAGCCAAAAATTCCTACTCAGCCTAGTGTACCTCGATATGGACAAGGGTACCACCCAGAGCATTACTCCTCCCACCTGTCGACGGGGTCCCAGGCGTGAAGTTTGTCCTACGCTCGAACAATCACAACTCTAAAATAACTGATCGCGGACTAGAGCGCATTAAAGCTGAAGACTTCACGTTCCGGACGGAATACATCAATCGACGTAAGGCTTCCGATACTCACTGTTGACGTAAGTCGGGTGCTCAGCAAGAACGGCCTTGTGCAGCTCTTGGGCGGCCTCATGGTGGCCCTGCTTCTCGTGAAGTAACGCCAGGTTGAACACCATGGACACATTTTCCTTTGTAACCCGGATTTTGTGCACCTTCTTAAACAGCGGTCCTTGAAGCGCGAGACCATCCACTCCACCGGGCGCCACATCTGCAACCTCGAACTTACCATCCTTCTCGGGTCCTTGCGCTGTCGTAACGTAGTGCTCGCCCACCCGGACATGTGTTCCCTTTCGCAACGCTCCCCTGATTGGTACGGACGTCTGCACCGTGCGCGATCCCTCCACTACGGACGCCGTCGCGGGGAGTTCTTTCCACTCCCAGAACAGCTGATTAGCGGGATCAGTGATGCGAAGCAAGGCATCCGAGTCTACGGTATCGTCGGTGCGTTTTACTCCAGAGGCCTTCTCGCTGAACGCGTGCCTATAAGCTGTCATAGCATCCGCGGCGTTTCCAATGTGCTCGTGCAACACGGCGATATTTGTCCAGGCGGCTTGGCGTGTCTGCGAACCACTCCGGTCGCTCAGACCTTCAGGAAAAGTCGTTCCGGTAGAAGTGGCTCCACCGTCTCCCAGCCCCTTCAAGTATGAAGACAGAGCTAGCTTGTGATCCGCAGGATCTTCCTGGAGCACCTGTAAATTCACACGCGACATGATGGGTACATGGGAGGATTCGTGTGCGCTTCATACACAATATCTAGAGCGAGAAAAGCAGAGTGAGCGAGATACGTGCAACCCGCGACGACTCATTCGCAGAACAAGACGGCACCAGGTTTACCACTCTCACCTGTGCTTGGGCGATCCATGCATCCGACAGACGAGGATTCAACTCGAGGGCCCTTTTAAACTTTGACAGCGCGGGCAAGCGGTCCTTGTTCTTAGCGCACAACACGCCCAGCAGGACCAGCGCCTCCTGAGGTCAAATAGCAAGCGTGGGATGTAAGGCACAGGAGGTGTTTCGCCAGCCACCTACACAGTGGAAAACATTCTTTGACAGGTGTGCGCCCATAACCTATATTCCAGCCACCGTTTGCTGCACCTGATTGTCTGGTACTTCAGCCAGTACCGCGTTAAGCGCCTTCATCGCCGGATCGATGCTTCCCTCGTTCACCAGCATTTGGGCCATACCGTACTGCGCAAGAGGAAATTGAGGCCACAGGTGGCACGCTTCATTGTACAAAAGCTTTGCCTCGCTGAGGTTCCCTGTCGCGTGGTGCACCCGCGCCTTGAGATAGCAGCTCTCAGCCTTGATTTCTGGCGCACTTGTGTTCTCGTACGCGGTACTGGCCAGTTCGACGACCTGTAGCATACCATTGGCGGAGTGTTTAGAAGACCAATACGTTCAGCGAGGGGTTGCGTCCGAAGTATCTAGGTGGGAACATACCGAGAAACAGTTTCCCTGCTTTGGGCGTCTTGCGCTCGAAGCACGCTGGTTCCTCTCCTGACGGCAATTTCAAATGTGATATTGAAGGAGAGCTGGGCGATTTCCACAAAAAACGAAAGTAATGGATGCAGGCAAAACTTTCGATAAATAATTATTGCAGCACCTTGCGGTAATCCTTCGTGAACAGCTTCAATTTGTCCCCTGATGGTTCCGTGAACTCTTCACGCAGGTGCAAAGTAGTCCCATCGAAACCTTCGTCCCCCATAGCTGTCGCGAATCCAGATCCTATGCGGATGATGTCCCCTCCTACAAGGGCATCCTTCAGATCCCCACGGACCGTCCCTGACCTCGAACCTTGCGCAATGCTGAGAGTGGCTTTGAGCGGCGACCATGTCCAGAAGTAGTGATTTGCCAGGTGGTTCAGAACCATTGCATTCTTGGCATCCACATGATACGCCATGCTAATCGTGTTGATGGCGTTTTCCGTTCTCCTGACCGCATCCTGTGACCCGGCAGAGGCGGTCGACAACTCCAGAATCGCGCTACCGACCAGCGCTTGAACATTCTGGGGATCTAGTTGAAGAGCACGCGTCATGGCGGCTTGGGCACGGGAGATCTGGCCTAGCTTGTAGCAACACAGCCCCAGGCCTACTCGCACTGACGCAGAGCATTCCGGATTCACACGGATTGCCTCGCTGGCCAAGAAAACGTGACAGAGCAGCGAGGCATGTGGAAACAATCAAATCAGAGGAGGCAGGTTGACTACGTTTTTCCGTCCGTCGAATAAATCTGCACCGGGCGCACGGCGTCCACTCACTAACATGCCCAACGATTAGGTTAGGCTCCCACCTGTACAGATCGAGGGCCTGCTTGTAGTTGCCGTGGTGAAAGTTCACAGCTGCCTCTCCGAGGGTCGCCGGGAAGTTGTGACGTTGCTTGCGAGCATTTTCGAAGAAGTACTTGGCACGGTCAAGCTCCCCCTGGCACAGGTAAAACACGCCTTTCCCTACCCATGTCAGTTCCGACATGTTATCAATCCGGTCAGCACTCGTGAGATGACTCAGCGCTGTAGTGTACCCATCATCTCGTGCGCTCCTGTCGGAACACTTGGATGCTTGCTTGACCGAGTCCGCCGCAAGCGCGTTGAGGATGCGAATTCGACCGACATCGAATGCCCTTCGATCGTCCGCATAGAATCTCTCCGTGTCTGGGGTAAGCGCCTCGATTATCTCGTTCAGGATTCCGCGAAAATGTTCTTCGGAACCTTGCCTGTAGTACTCCACCTAAATATTCCGGAAGCGATCGACAGGACGGGCACAGTCGGGAGAAGAGCAATCAGAAATAACAATATGCTTGTGGACAAAATAATAGAAATGCTAATTTTATGGCAGCACAATCCTGCAACATTCTGGTTGTATTGTAAGCATTCGGTCGTGAACACATCCGCTGCGGAACATCGTGTGCCTGGTTGGGACGATCGCGACGGGGACAAGTTAACACGCTCACGGTAACCTGCAGAGGGCAAGAAGCGAGACACGTCATGCAAAGCGGCTAGCACAGTGTGGGGAAGTGTGATGAGCGAACGGTCGTTCTTCCGGAGCGCCAGAGCAAGAGATACAAATGACGTTTGCATATAGGGTGAAATACTCAAAGATCTCGTAACCGAGGTGAAAAAGGAGAACGAGCAGTTCTACTAAAGAGCAGATCTAACAAGCAGTCACAAGAGGGCCGTGACAAAGGCCGAAACGCGCTAATGCCCGAATCCTCTTCTCCTAGTTGACCGAACCGATAGATTTGAGACATGTCAGGACAGAAGCATTTCCAGGGCGAGCTGCCTACAGTGCCGTGCTGCATGATATGTTCTCCATCCAGACGGGTATTCGCTGTACGACTGGAGGGCGATCGAACAGAGTGCCTTCTGCTTGAACCACAAAACCCGCGAAACCTTGTGACTAGCTCGTGACTATCAGCGTGTGGAGCTGAGGGTTTCTCTTAGTCGTTTCACTGCGTTCGACGCCAGGGTGCACACTCGCAAATTTTACAGATCGGATTGCCCATTGGGGTCCGCTGAGCCTTTCACATCTTCCTACTTTCTCAAGATTTTGGGGGCTGCTCTCATTTTGGAACCATATATTGACGCAACATTTGATTGCTTCGTCGTTCTGGAATCGTGACGGACGTTCCTCGAAAGAGAAGAACCCCCAACAAGACAAAGCAAACATTTCGGGGGCAAACCTTGGACAAGATTGCAACTTTCGACATGAAGTGTCAGACTAGCTGACTTTCGAATAATAAGGCCCTCACGTCCACACGCCCACACTCGTGGTTTTGTTTGTGACCTGAACTTGAAATTACCTATGTAGGGGACGGGGTACAGGCGCCCACCACCTGGCTGGTTTCCAAATAAAATTCCACCCCGACTGCTGTTTTGGTTTGAGTTTGAAGGTGGCTCGGCTTTTTAATTACAGGTTTGATTTGATTACAGCAATTATTTCCCATTCCCTCGGCCGGGACTTTCTGTGAAATGAAACAACGAGATTTCAGCTCGGACGGTGTGATCAAGAGGTGCTCACTTCAGTCATGACAACCAAGCATGCGGGTTTCGCCCCCTGTCGCAGTCACGGAACATGCGCCTCAAAACCTTGCTCTCGCCCCAGACTATGGTAAATGGAGCAGCTGCAAAACATGTGCTAGGAGCAGATCCTCGACCACATGATCGAATACATGAGTCACGACCTATCGCTGAGAGTTATGTAACGTCCCAAGATGAACGGTGTTTCACAAGGTGTTGACAATACAAGCGCTGAAAACAGAAAGCGACACATAAGAAAATCGCGAAATAATCTCGGCCATGTCTGTTGACGCGCATAATGCCAATCCTTAACTGCCAAAATCACAAGTCCGAGCCAAGAACAGGCGGAAGCCATCATTCTTCTTGTAGTCACCCGATTGAGGTTAAACCGTAAACGCTAATATCTGCCTCAGTCGCTTGCAGGTGCGAGTGGGGTGTGGCTGTAGGCGGTGCGACCAAGGGACAAAAGCTTCACTCGAGACACAAGCTGTTATTTTCATCGGGGAAAGGCCATCCAATTCATCCCTTCATTCAAGTGCAACAAAGAAACTCCGAACAACTCGTTTCGATGTCGTACAATGTTGTACAATGTTGTCGTCTCGCCCATTTGATGGAACCACCCGACAGCCGATACCCTATTCGAACGACAGCACTGAGGTGATACTGCTCATCACGTTGAAACTCGATCTGATACCTTCCCCCATTTCAATGCAAATGAGACGAATGACCGTCTTCAAACCTAACCCAAAAAATTGGTACAAACTTAATGCATACTTCAATAATACATACTCAATAGGGTGTTCCAATTCCACTCATCCAGATTGGCGGAGTTCCTCTACGAGCAACAAACGAAGCTGAGCAGTGAAGGAAACGCCGCCCCCAAAAAGACACTAGAGCCCGTCGCTTCGGTCACTTGAAACTTGAGCCAAAACCAAGCCAAACTTCAGACTACAACAACACATGAGGTGCTATCCTGGCACCCCTACATGCAAACGGGGGTGTTCGTTGAGTGTGGCATAATACTTGTACATGAGGAGACAGGATAGTCGGCCTCGTTGAAGATGGTAACGAGTTACCATCAATTCAACAACTTTTCAAACAATATGGGCCTTTGACAGCGTGTTCTACCATTGGGACGCCAATTGAATAATTCGTTTTCCTGACCCCGAAAAGAAGGCCAACACTATTTCTTACACACCAGGTCAGTGCTAACCGGTACTAGCCCAGTCCGTCGTAAAAAACTGCTGGGTAAGAGGGTACTTGGTGACTATTTATACCAGTCCGGACTTCGTGCGGATGCGGCGGGAGGATATGAACATGCCGGCAGGACATCGGATACTGCTGTGTGTCGGTCTATTTCAACTTCCCTCGGCAGCCTAAGAGCCATGAATAACATGGGCGATGGCTCAGTGTAGCTTCGAAAATAGCCACTCACCGCAAAACGTAACCAGATGTCCAGCGGTGCGATTTCCGCCTTGAGAACATCGACAACGTCGTTGTAGTCGCTTGGTAGTTCCTCGGTGTACACCTCCACGGTTTGCTGCGCCCCACGTACAGGAATCCTGATGCAACCATCGTCTCTCGCATCGTCATCACGCGGTGACATAGACATAGTGACGACGAGCACCAGAGAAGATACCTCGGTTTGAGCACTGCCTTCCTCCGCTGGGCAGGCGTTGTGATCTGCTTCAGCGGCAGCTTGTCTTGTGTGATCTGCGGACAAGAGGGTGGGCAAGGGGTGGGGGGCGGGGGGGCACAGTGAGGAGGTCGGGGTATGTGGGCTGGTGGGTGAGATACATCTACCGTCCCCCCGGTTTCCCTTGGGTTGAGGCTCTGTGTCCGCCGGCGGCGGAACAACCAGAAAGCAGCAGGCGAGGCGGGCGCGAGGGCATTCATTGCAGGCACAGGGCGTTCCCTAGAGCCCACACCAGTTTGGGAATTATTGATTCATTTCGTTTGCAAGAAATGTCTTGGCTGTTCGGTTCAGGCAACAGGAAGACGCCCACGGGGCAATCTGATATTAGAGCAGCAAGAGATCGACAGATCAGCAACTTGAAGGAGCGGGTGCCCGGACTACTGCTCAAGTCCACCGACAATTCTCTCAACGAGGTCCAGATAACAGCTCCAGATGGAGCAAAGGTCGTCTTACGAGTTTTTCTTCCGACGAAGTTCCCTTCGGATCGACCCGGTGAGCAGACGTCCCACACCTTCATCATTCTGTCAGATTCCACAGACTACCGATGACTAGCGCACGATTGCACTACACTATTTATTTAGTTTGTTACATCATTGCACCTGTGTACGTAATGTGTACCATCGTATTCGTTCTTCGGAGTATGGTATTACGTAGCGGCAATAATGTGCCACGCGAATTTATGGCCACCCTCCATGCCTTCGTTTTCGTTGTGTCGCCGTTTTTTTTTGCGTTTGTCCTCCCTCCAGCACCTCTTCTTCTAGGAACAAAAATTCTGCGTAGACCACAGCTGCCCGTACTTGATGCAGTTGATACACTCATACTTGTATGCACATGCATTTGTATGCATGTACCAAATCAAATCCATCCTTCGTACTTTGTACTGCGTATTTGACCACGCTAGCCCCCCGTTCAGGGCCACGTGGCCTCGTTCGTCGCCGTTTGCGGGCCTCATACTTATCGCGGCTTTTCACATATGTAAAGCAGGTTTCAGCCGAAGACTGCTGAGTGTGTGTGTGTTGTGGTGTGTTGTCGCCCTAAATTTTATGGGACAGCAGTCCCCCCATTTTTCGTGATGAGACGTGTACTACACTCTTCAGTGTATGTAGGGTACTACACTTTTCAGGGTATTTTTTCGTACAACTACAACTCTCCAGGGTCACACAGGAGGGGGTAAGCAGCGCTATTTTCTTCTCTTTTCTTTAATTTTCGTGCCCCACCTTCCTCCTGCGGTGCGTGATGAATTTTATTTTTATCGCGAAAATGGTCCAGCCGTCCCTTTCCCTCGTTAAACGGTGCTAACGTCGAAGTTTGGTACTTGCGAGAGCTTGTTCAACTGTATTTTTTGCTTTCACCCGCAAATTTTGTACTCTTTTTACGCCATGGGGATTCGAACTTACGACCTTTGCGACTATGATAGCGGTTTTTCGAGGATACTGTACCACTAGATCGCCGGGGCGACCGGCTTTTGCTTAGTAGAAGCATAAAATAAACATCCCCTTTATTGTATTTTTCCGAAGTGTCATTTTTGTTATTATTTTCCACGAAGTCTGGAAGGTAACTCTCTGGCCAATAACGAGGGGACGACACCGGTCGCTTCCCTCTCTCCTCGAGAGTCCAAGTTCCCCTTCCATGTCAACTGGCAGGCCCTAACAAAATGCCGTCTCAGTACACCGAGACCCCCAATGGTACTCCATACCATTGACATCCTCCTCCCCAATCGGACCCTCATAACCCAGTTCCCCGTGGAATAATAGCAATCATATCGACATGTCCCCTCTATATATGTATCCTCCCGGTACATACCCTAGTCATCGCCCCCCCCCCCCCCCCCCCTTTCCGAAAAAAAAAATTCAGGGGGGGGGGGGGGGGAAAAAAAAAAAAACTAACTCCCCCGAAAAAAAAGTCTTAAAAAGGAATAACTGGGAATGTTGTCCCCTCCTACCTTTAACAATCCCCGGGCTCCCACACTAAAGAAGCTTCAACCTGATCCGGCGCAAAACGAAAGTCCTGGGAACAACTGCCTTTTCTCGGGGGGCAAGAATCCCCTTCTAAACCCACGCAAAAATCCTCTTTGGGACAAAAAAAAAAATGGTCACTTTTCATCAACTCCCAAAAACACCTAAATTAAAATCCTCCCCCCCTAAGTTGGAACCCTCTGAAATACTCCCTTTATTGTATTTTTCCCAAATGTCATTTT